TCACAGAGATCCACCTGCCTCCTGAGGGCTGGAATTAAAGGCCTCCACCACCAGTGCCCAGATCAATTTCTTTCTTTACTTCTTCCTTGACCCAGGGGTGATACAATTGAGAATGGTTCAATATTCATAAATTTGTAGACTTTCTGAAATTAGTATTGTTAACTTCTAATTTTAAAGCCTGTGCTTCAGAGTTTCTCTGAGGTCGTGGGGCATTGGAGTGCTTGGAGGCACAGTGGGACTTGTAACTTACTGGGTCCAATTGATGGGATGGGGCCCGGAGTTTTTACCCCAGTATAAAGGGCCTACAGAGTGAACTGCCCCACTGGGTGGGTGGTCACTCACCTCTTGGTCCTCTCTGTGTATAGTTCCAGCCTGTGTTTTAGAGTTTCTCTGATGTCCTGGGGGATAGGAGGGCTTGGGGCAGAGTAGGACATGCACTCTACAGAGTAAAGTTGCTGGGGTGGTTGTATTAGAACAGCCTACTGTTGTCAGAGTTTTCACCATTTGTTGACCGAGATTTCTATCCTGCCCTGTTCCCTCAGTCATTAAATTCCAAAGAAATCACACAAGAGGTCTACATTAGTTATAAACTGATTGGCCTAGTAGCCCAGACTTCTTATTAACTCATAACATATTTTAGCCCATTATTCTTGTCTATGTTAACCACATGACTCGGTACCTTATTCAGAGGCAGTCACATCTTGCCTTGTATGTGGCTGGGTCACAACTGCAGACTGCTCTTCACTCTTCCTAGCATTCTTGTTGTCCCACCTATACTCCCTGCTTGGTGGCACTGCCTATACTTCCTACCTGGGTACTGACCAATCAGCATTTTATTAAACAAGTATAAGAAACAAATGTTTATAGGGTAAAACAACTGTCCCACAGCAGCCTACCAGCAGGAAGATTCCCTGCTGGCTTGCTAGAGAAGCTGAGGCAGGTGGGAGAAGGGACACAGAGTTTTGCCCCGGTATAGAGTGCCTAGAGAGTGGGGTAACCCAGTCAGTCAGTGGTAACTGACCTCATGGTTTTCTCTTTTTATTTGCAGCCTGTGTTTCAAAGTTCCTCTGAGTTTGTGTGGGTTAGGAGGGTTTGGGGGCAGAGGGGGACTGGTAACTTACAAGTTCCAATTAATGTGATGGGGGGGGGGTGGTTGGAGCAGCCTATCTGCAGGAGACTTGCCTGCTGGCTGGCTAGAGAAGCTGAGGCAGGTAGTGTAGGTGCCCAGGGTTTTTTCCCTGGTATGGAGGGCCTAGAGAGTGAGGTGCCCTGCCAGGTGGGTTGGCACTCAACTCTTGGACATTTCTGTGTAACTTGCAGCCTCTGTTTCAGAGTTTTTTGAGGTGGCGGAGAAAGGAGGTTTTAGGGGTAGAGTGGAACTTGTAGTGTACAAGGTCCAATGATAGGATGTAGATTATCTGAGTTTTTCAGGGTATACTTTTGGAGTAGAAGTAGTATAGCAGAGAGTATATACCTGTTGCAGTTGAATTCTGGGAGGATCAGGTGTTAATAGTCTATCTATTTCTACTATTAACAATATGTAAAGGATTATTTTCATCTCTGTTCTTATGTCCAGCACAGCGTAGTGCTACTTCTAATGTATTTCAGTGTATAGATGTCACATATCCTTTGACTGTGATATTATCTTGAGAGACCATCCTCATTAATGTTGAATTTCTTGTTTCAGTTTTGGGTTGAATCTGTCTGTCCCCTCCATTCCTTATTTTCTCCAACCCTCCCTTCCCCCCTCTTCCTTTTCTTACTCATTCTTTTTTCGTGTGTGTGTGTTTCGTGTGTATGTGTGAGAGAATGAGATTAGTATTTCTTTATATGTCTGTGTCTCTTAGAATGCAAGCCTTTCTACTTACTGGAGGCATATAGGTTCACAAGGACAGCTTCTTGGAGCTGAATTTTTAATCCAAAATACAAGTTTCTGATTGAACCTCTATGTCAGTTTTTCTACCATGCATCATTTTTGCAGATGTCCCCTTGAGGATTTTTTTGTATCCATTTACAATTTCTTGCATGCTTCTCTTAGTTAAGGTCCTGTTTTTTTATATATTTTAATTTTAAATCTGTGTCTTTTAAAATTACCTAGGTAAGGCTTCAAAATCTCTGTAACTATATCATGTGACATTCTCTTATTGTGTCCCTGACAGGACTGAGAGACTTTATACTCTGACTGGTGCCTCTATGGTGCTGTGATGTCAGGAGCCTACCACTCTGTACACTGTGAAACTTTTTTCTATTTTCATATTTTGTTTATGTATTTGTAAGAGGGTTTCTCTGTGTAATAGCCATGACTGTTTGGAAGTTGCTTCAGAGTCCAGGCTGGCCTCAAACTCACAAATACCCCATCCCTTGCCTCCCTAGTGCTGCATTAAAAGGGCTATTTTTGTTTTCTGAAGAGAATGTAACTTAATAACTGGCACCAATGCTGGACTTTCCTGACCTCATGGTCCACCTGCTGCCTCCTCCATAGTAGTTCCATTGTAGGTGTGGGCTGCATGGCCCAGAAATATTTTTTCACACTGTTTTTCACCTTCATCTCTGGTACTCATGCAGGCCTTGTTCCCATCAGGTTTTGTTAAGCTGTTTGTGCTGTTCTTAGTCATGCTTAGAACTCACTGTGGATTATATTGTTGTTGTTTTCTGTATGTCATTACAAAAAAAACCCCAATGTTTGTTATATGTCTGTGAGTAGTTCTGGGCTATGAGATGAGGGCTTGACACTTCTGAGGTGTTCTGTTTTTGTCTCTCGGTTATAGGTACGTAGTCCTGTGTTTGTCTTTTTGAGAATAAAACCTTGCTTTTATTTGTCCTCCACAGCATGGTGACGAATGTCAATTTCTGGGTTTTGTTGTCTGTAGAAGATGGAGGGAATGATCCCCACTGATGCATATTAAGAATATATGCAGATGCTGAAAGAAAAATTAAATTAAGAAGACAGTCCATTGAAAGAAAATATTATTCTACCCAAAGTAGTAGTCCGACTACAGGGTGGAAACACTGGGTGAAGGTGTACAGAAAGTATAATGGGCTCTGTGAACAGATACAGCACTGGGACAGTAATAGGTACAGTCCTTTTACTTCCTCTGTGATGAACTGAATGGATGTGTGATTCAGTCTTGTTGGTTATTCAAAGATATGAGTTGTACAGGTTAGCAGATCCATCATGTGGTCCATACACATCTAGTATGTGGAGAGCTCATCAGATCAGGCTCAGTTGTGCTAATTTTCCAGCCATCAGCTGTTCATACTGGTCCTGTCTACACCATGTTTTCATTTCTTTAACAGTAGCACTCTGTCTGAGCTGTGCTTCTACTCTCTCGGCGTTTGTTCTGTCTATGTTTAGTGATTTGACAGGGATTTGGATCATTTGTTTTAGCCCTTTCTCATTTCCTAGACTGTTTGGCCATGCAAGTGATATTGTAAAGAATTAAGGCTGTGATACCTGCTTACCTGCCTCTATTCTGATGCCTTGTTCTGCAAACATCTTTACTTTTTCTTCAGTAACCACCTGAATTACTCCTGCTGTTTTTCTGTCTTCTGTGCATCAGCCTGTGAGTTCTTGGCAGGTGAATGGTGTTTGTCAGGGTTTTTGTATGCTTTGGCCTTGAACTTATGACTGTCTTGTTCCCATGCCCTATGATTGGCTGTGTTTGTAAATAAATAAAGCAAGAATTTCACTCTAGAAAATACAGGCCCATATCTTCGTTATTATAGTGAAAGAACTCATATTTCCATGAAAACCAGAGCTTAAGGATTAGAGGAGACCATGCAAGCATGGAACTCCATGAAAGTGGTCAGGATATCAGGGGAATGTATAGTTCAGCTGATTGAACGTTGGATAAGGAGTGCCTCTAGAGTGTGGGTCCCTTCCTAGCTACCTGTGTGAATTGAAAACTATGCCCTTTATTAGTTTTTGAGAGCAGGTCTCTTTAGTTTTCCCAAGTCAGGCCTTATACTGCTGAACTAAAGACATCTTCCTCCTCCACTATTCCATATTTCTGGGATACAGGGCCCATTGACATTCCCACATTTAAGATTCCTTTCAATTTATGTGGAATGGAGTAAAGGGAACTGCAGTTGTGTTTCAAAGTCTCAGGTTGTTTGTTCAGTGCACTTTTAGTTCAGACCTGTGTCAAATTTTACACCAAAGAAACTGTTTTTTTTTTTACTGTGGTTAATTATAGCTGCTATTGTATGCTTTTTCTTGTCACTTAAAACCTATGTATGTATGTATGTATGTATTTATAAATGTGTGTATATAGAGATATGTATATGTATACATACAACACATGCATCGATTTTTCGGTGCTTTAAAGACAGCCAAACCTCTTTTCATTCTAACCCATACCACTTCTTCCTTTGCCTCTGGAGTTCCAGGATTTCAGACCAAATGTACCTTTATAAATATTTCTTTTGTATTCCTTCTTCCGACCCTGTTGTTGCACTTGACTTGTCAGTGGCTTCTCTGAGACACAGATGTGCAGAGAAGGAACTTAATTCCTGGTCTAAAACCAGGCACACACTTGACAAGCCAGCAGTATCCTAGGCAGGCCCTAATTGGGGCAATGTGTTTGGGTCCTGAGAACCAAGGTCTTCTCATCCTGAGAGGCCATGGTTTTCATTCCCATAGCCTCTGTGCACGCAGTTTGGGTCTCACTTGCAATACTCTTTGTTATCTTTGTGTTTAATTACTTGATCGACTTCTTCCTCACTTTGTCCCCTTGTATGGGATGTTTTGCTGCCACTGTCCCATTTACATTTCAGGAAAGCTGTATAACATGTAGAAATTCCTAATAAACCTGCTTGTACCAGCAGTCAACTTGTATAAGCATGCCTGATCCCAAACTTTACTATCTTCTCTAACTTCTCATCCCCTGGTCATCTCTCTCTCTCTCTCTCTCTCTCTCTCTCTCTCTCTCTCTCTCTCTC